GGCCACTCGTCTTCTAGTTTTAATCGTAGGCTGCACCACAATATGAATCTACAAGCTACGCGCTGTGGAGCTCCACTTTTGGATAATTCAGACGGCCTTGGCCCGATAATCTAGAGGTGCGAATGATGACTCACCGTATACTATCATAGGCCCGAACCTAGTCATAGTATAATGTATCACCAAAACCAATTTGTTATTACTTGTTATATTACTTTTCGTGTTATTCATCTGTTGTGCTTGTTATTTATGACTTATGACTGTACTATTTATATGTATTCCGGCGATTGTTATCCTTACTGTTATTAGTTTCGTCTAGTTCATTCTTGTTAGTATGCAGTTAGTCTTCTTAAGCCCAAGCCTACCCTAAACCCTAAACCCTAAACCCTAAAACCCTAAACCCCTAAGCCCAAGCCTACCCGGGTCTGGGGCCCAAAGCCTTCTCAGACAGGGCTCAGCTGGATCTCTTCGATTTCGCCTCTTCGCGCTCCACTCGCAGGCTCAGTGCTTTTGGCTGGAGCTCTGGTTTAATCCATCGGCCTGAGTAGTTACTGGTATATTTCCGTTTATAAGGGTTCCTTGATACAACTGCACTATGACATACACTGGTCTCTAGTCATTCGGGCCCCTTGCGAAGTTATGGGTTTCAGGCTGCTGCAGGGTTTAGAGCGATAGAGCATTTGCAAGCCGGTTGACGCTCGTTTTGTTCCTTCGGGACCTATGTTGTTCAGGGGCGTTTGGACTTGAGTTGGGGGAGCGTTTTCGCTTGAGAAGTTCGGAAACGGGAGGTTTGATTGAGGAGTTTTACGGTTGGCAAGTGCCTTGTTTGGCTACCATATGGCAAGAGATGCGATGTTGAAAGGTGAGATGACTCCGACATATCGCGTTGTGCTATGGGGCTGCTAGAGTGTCTCCGCGAAGCTTGGCCGGAACTTCTCCGGCGCCTTGTCACAATCTCATGCCCTACCGAAACCAGAGCATACATAAGAAGTACAAGTCGTTTTCTTTCTGCGGCTTGTGCCCCGTGCGATGACAGGTTTTGGTGCCTACTTGGAGGGCTGGGAGACGTAATAAGTAGTTATTTTATTAGAGTTATAAGATGTTATAAGTATCATAACACAATTAGGATCCCCTGCAGGGTACTTGAAACTCTACTAAGTCCCCGACCCTCCAAGTCGACGGCCTAGTCTTCTCTAATGGGCATGCATCATCTTGATCTCGAGGCAGCTAATCAACGTCAAATAAGTGTCGGCCACCGTGTTTACTGAGTTTACTGGGTCCATGCGCAGTGCCGCGATGCGGAACTCTACTTCGCGATGGCAGCAAGAGCACGAAGAGGATCGAAGGCTGATGGCCGCGCTCGACGCACGCACGGAAATTCCCCACTTGCTGGTAGAGCTGCGAAGCCTAGGCTACATTGAGATCTGTGGTAAAGATATGGGTGGCATTTATCAACGACTGGAGGATTGGATGGGGGAGCAGTGGGGTTGCGAGTTTCTGAGCACGGAAGTACGTGTCGTTGCAGACAGGGATAGCGACTTTGGCTTATCTGGCCCTTACTTTACTGGCATGGTCAACCGCGTTGGGCCAATGGCAGAATTCAATCGCCTGTGTGACGCGAGCTTCGACTGGCCTCCGAACGAGCTCGTGTGCCGGTGCATGCCGATGTGTGGCAAGAATATCGTCACAGTCTTCAAGCTTCGCGGAAACGAAGGAGAGAACAACATGGGGAAGCTAACGATGGAACTGGTGAACTTCATGACACAAACGTGTGGTTGGGGGCTTCATCTGTGCAATGGGACCAACCTGGGCTTCTATGGGCAGATCCGGGAGCAGCAGGTTATCTTCAAGGCTCCCCACCCACTGAACTTAACAGCCCCGCATCTCATGACCCTCTGATCTCCGATGCAAAGCGTTTGAGCTTTTTGGCGTCTGACAAGTTAGGATTTTTCTGAGCGTGCAAGCTTTAATCTTCCTGTGCATTGGGGAAGCAAGGATCGAGTTGCGGCAGGCAGGCTATGTGGAGGTAAACGGCGCCGACAGCAATGGTATCTTTGACAAGCTCTGCAAGTGGCTCGAACAAACTTGGAAAGCAAAGAGAGTCCAGGCAGACCCGGGATATTGCGCGCTCAAGTTTAGCTGTGATGTTTTCAGCAAGCGTGGCCGTGAAGGCGAAAACAACATGGGCATGAGGACCATGGAGATGGTGGACTTTATGGTGCAGCAGTGCGCCTGGACGATGATCACCTGTAATGGTGGAAACTTTGGCAGGTATGGAGACATCCGCGAACAACAAATGGTCTTCCGGGACGACGGGCATGTGCAGCATGGTGACGACCACATCATGGTCGAGCTTAGGGACATCGGCTATGTGGAAGTGAATGGCCTCTCCAGCTCGCGCGACATCGAGCCTTTCGTCTCACAGTTCTTGATGGGAAGCTGGCAGTGTCAAGACTACAACCCGCACTTCTATGAGCAGACAAAGTTCTGTGATCGCAAGTTTGTCACACCGCAGAATCTCTACTACAAGCAGGGCTTGACAAACAACATCGGCAAGCTGACCATCGAACTGTCTATCGCCCTAGCTTCGCAAGGGTGGATGCTGATGCTTTGTAACGGCGGCCACATCTCCAGCATCAAGGACCCTGCCTACTGCAACTCCATGGCGCCTCTTCCGATGCGCAAAAAGATGGTCGACTGTGAACTTATTGGCGGCATCAAGCGGGAGCAACAGATCAAGTTCAGTCGGGCGCCGGACCGCGCTATCGCAGCCGAGCCCCTTCTGATGATCGAGCTCCGATCCGTGCCCAGACGTCCACCCGAGAGCATCAACACTATGAATCTGGAATATATAGACCCCTTCAAGGAGAACGAGACCAGGAAGAGGCAGACGGCCGTCGCACTGCGTGATTGGATTGTCTCGGCAGATTACGAGGGCTTTGTTGAGGTGAATGGTTTCAACACCAATGGCGTATATCAGAAGCTACAAGAATTCATCGAGCGATTCCTTAAGGGAAGATTGCTCGGGCCGCAGCCCTACTGCGACTGCCTTTTCTCTTGCTCAGCGTTTCGTCAGAAGATGTCTCCCCATGGCGAGTACTGGGACGGCTTCTACTGTGGCGAGAACAACTTCGGAAAGTACACCATGCGTTTGATCGATTTTTTGGTAGACCACCTTGGCGAATGGGACCTTATCGCCTGCAACGGCAATGCAGCTGAGCGTGCGTGGAGCTGGAGTGGCCTTGTGTCCATGGTGGCCCGTGAACAACAGCTTGTTTTCCGCCACCGTCCCAAAGCCGGACGGGTGTTCATGGCCACCGGGCAGTACGCGCCCTTGGGCCACAAACCGATGCAGGCCCCGGACTACTGGACTACTGAGTCCCGCGAGGGCACTGCTGCCTTTAAGGTCGTGCCAGTGACAGAGGAGGAGAAGGAGTGGCTGCAGCAGCTCCTGGATGGCAGCTACGTGAAAAGGGTCACTCGGGATCGCAGAGGCGGTCGACTGGCAGAGCGCTTCGAGCTTGTCGCTGCAGTTCGATCCGAAAATCCCCACTTGTGGGATGCGTTCGCAAACCGACGGCACAAGGTTGGCCTCGCTCGTGATGGCCTACATGCAGATCACAGAGGAGAGGACGTGGTCCCCAAGACGACCCTCGCTTGCCCTGCACTGGCGGCACGCTGTGTTGACGAGGATGGGAAGAATCCTTCGACCGAAGGTATGTTTCTTCACGGAACGAATCCGACATCGGCCGTGGCGATCCTGAAGAACAACTTCAAGATTGATTTAGCTGGTGCCAGTGCAGGAACGATGTTTGGGCCAGGAGCATATCTCGCCGAAGCATCGACCAAAGCGGACGAGTACGCGCAAGATGACAAGGCCGGCAGCTACAAAGGCCTCTATGCCATGGTCGCCTGCCGGGCAGTGATGGGAAGACCCTTCGTTGAAAAGAACCCCGGCAACTACTCAAAGAAGGTGACCTCGGGCGCATTTGATGTTGTTCTTGGTGATCGCGAGGCGGCAGTCGGGACTTTCCGGGAGTTCATCTTCTTTCACGAGGAGTCGATATATCCGGAGTACGCGTTGTTTTACCGGAGAGTCCACGGCGAAGAGGTATCCGAGACGGTGCTTGAAGAAGTGGGCTGTGAGCCCAAAGACGTGGAGCCCGGCATACCCGAAGCAATTCCGGGCTGCCACGGCCAGCTCCAATGCCTCGTTCCGGCGGATGCGATACCGGGTGGCACACTCAAGGTACGTACGCCGGGTAGTGATCAAGTCATCGAGATAGCCCTCCCTGAGGCGGTGAGGCCAGGGAGTATTCTCGCCTTCCGCGTGAGACCTTGAGGGCCGCAACTAGCGGAAGACTTGACGGCAAGCGCCGGCTTTGGGCCTTCCATGCCTGCGCTTCGGATTGCAACCTCCGTGTCAGGTGGCGCAAGAAGACCAGGACCCTGAGTGCGGATATCTGCATCTCAGGCTTTCGAAGACTGCATTTTGAGGAAAGTAGGAGGTTGTCGGGTTGAGGCTTTGTTCGAATTATTTTATCTTTCGTTGAGCCTTTGGGTACCTGTTCTGCTGCACACAACTTCCACAATTCAGATACAGTAACGGCCCAGATCTTGCAAGATATTTTCGCGAATACTGCCACTACAGCAAACCGTGTAATCTGACTTCTATTGCTGAGAGTCCTGGAATGCAGTTCTCAATCCACGTACAAGAAATGTCACGGGAGGCTTGTTTACGCAAAAGATGCTCAATCATCCAGTCTGTTTTGTTGCTACATGGTGTCGTGACTTGAATTCACCAGGCTTTGTAGAACCTCGGGAAGCTCTGTACTTGAAGCCTCGACCCCATCGGCACCATCCGTCGTTTGCAGAAGGGTCCCGTCGCAAGGAGCTGGTTCTAGAGAAGCCGCCTCCCGACATTTGTGCGGCGCTGAGGTTTGAGTCCTGTGTTTTAGCACTGCTGCTATGTGGCAATCACAGCATGAGAACTTGGCAGCAAGATTTCAACGCAATATGCCTCGCACATCATAGCGCCCTCGGCAGACTCGGCGCAATCTTCATGCATCACGCGAGTAAGTGAGTGAGTGAGCGAGTGAGCTTGCACGAGTAACTGAGGGTTTGTGTGTTCGCGCATGTTTGTGCTCTGTTTCGTTCCGTTTGATGTAATTAAGAACTGGCAGAGTCAGAGGGATGGGAACATTAACCAACAGGCATTTCATCTGGAAAGTTTTCGTCTCAGTACACAGCTGCCAGCAGATTCTCAGGCGTAAGCCCAATAGGTGCGAGCAGGAAGTGCGTCACGGGTGTAAGACGGTAGCAGGCAGGCCCCAGCATACGAAGCCCACCATTGCGTGTAGGGCTTTAGTATACTTCGGTTTGCAACGCATGGAAACATACGGAAATGGTGTCAACATCCGAGCGGATCGACTCGGCAGCGGCTTCATGCGCATAGTGCAGGGGCTCTTTTAGGTATCATAAGTGGCTCCTACCGCCATGCCTTCCTCAGGTCTACTTTTGCTACGATGGATCTCATCCTTCTCCGGTGCAGCCGTTTACCGTTCCATGTTGGGCCACGCAGCGCACCGCAAGCTGAAAGCAACTCAGGACACGATTCCGCAAAGAGTTGCCCAGCATATACCCTTGACGGCGTGGACGATCAACCCGGACAGACCTTCAGTGGTGTATTTCAGAGCCCCTACCCTGGACTCGTTTTCCCGAGACCGTGCTTCCCCAGATATAGCCTTGAAGCACACAGTCCCTTTCCCCAAGCCCCGAAAGCCCGAGCGCGATATCTGCAAACAGTGGCACTGGCCATCCGATGGATGCAGATGGAGGGGCACATGGAGAACTGCCGAGAGCCCTCACAGAGGCCCTGAGAGCAGTCATGTCCACAAATACCTTCAATCTGCGTGGCTCGTTTCAAACTTGTGATTTCACAGAATTCGGGCTTGCTTTGGCAGGGTGGAGTTACTCAAGGTCAAAAGGCTTCATGTTTTTAGCTACAGTATTACCGACTGGAATCATCCGACACGGTACCCTTACTTGCCAGACCCGCAGATTCTGCAATTCCTGGCAAGCCCCAATGACTTGGCAAACAGTTCATCGTTCCTTGTTGCACACATACCTTGCATCTTGCTTGGGTTTACTACAAGCGACTGCTCTAGGCATTTGTCCAACTTCTTGTTCCAAGAGTTGGCTGCCATGTTGTTGAAGCATGACCACGAAACTTCGCGGGTCCAATGGCTGTTCTTGTTTGGGGGAGGAGGCTCCCTCTCATTTTGTGTCCTTCTTTTATCCACGCCCTTTGCAGACCTTCAATCTGTTTTGGACTATACAATGATATCGATCGGAAGTTTGCCTGCAAAAACAGACTCCCGCAAGGGCCTTCGAAGCCTGAGCACCCCGCCCACCTCGCACACCACCCTTTGGAATCAGGCGTCCCCCTACGCTGCCAGCACGCCGGGCACTTCGAATTTGCGGAGGCTGAGCTATCTTTATAGCGACTGCTAAACCATTTTTCGTTTGCTCACCGAGCGTTTGTTACTCAAGTCCTGCTCTCTTGAGTGGTTACGTGGGGTCTAAACTGATCATGCAGCCACAATATACAATGCACTTGTAACCCCCATCTTTGATGTCCGAATGCTCGTATAGCAGCATAGCACTGGGCTTCCCTCGTTGAGCTTACGACTTGTGGGCCAACTTACTCACGCGATTGTCCCTGTAATTGTAGCCGAAACGTACCTCACCCCAGAGCCTTCTGTGCTATAGCTTGCCATTCTGTGAACGCGACAGCCTGCACTTGGTGTTGAGGGTTGAGCGATGCACGAATGAAGAGTGGGTCCGGGTATAGTTCAGCTGTTTCTCCAGGAATGCTCGTCCTCGCCGCATCTTGCAATGCACCTATGCCGCAGAGAAGAGTTGTTCACGTTGTTTGTCGTATATTCGGGCAAGCACTGGCCAAAATCCCAGGCGTGTGGGTTAGCTGAAGCAACACTTTTGTGTTCATAATGCTCTAAGCCTTCTGCTTGCAGCTAGCACAACCCGATTATGAAGTTGCAATGTGTTGCAGTGGCATCCATCGGTATTTCACTACTGTGAAAACGGATCTCCGGCAAACTCGAACTCAGAGTCCTTAAGATCGGATTGTCAAGGTCATTCCACATCTATCGGCAGCCGATGATGCGTGGTGCTCGCCACTTGTTGCAGTTGCTGCTCGAGGGAGGGGTTTTTCTGAGAGGGCTCTGGTCCAATACCACCACTTTTGAGAGCTTAGGAGGTGCCGGTGATCCAAATCACCCTAAGACGTTTTTAAGACTTGGTAGAAGCACATGGTTCAAGCTATACATTAGGTCTGCCTTGTCGAGATTATTGGATGTGGTTGGCTGAAGAGCGCAGCAGCTTCAGTGTTCCGGATCTCGTTATTTTCCCCTAATCTTTCACAATCTTTGCATGGCGGGTGCTCTCCGCAGAAACCTTCTCTGTGCCTCTGCTGCACCGTGGTGGTAACTGGATTCTGTAATGTCCGGAAGTCGTGGTCCAGCATAAATCACCCCCTCTTCAGGCTGGGATTCGGGCCACATGAAGTCCGTTGCCCGAACCTGTCCGAGCCAAGAGGCTGTCCCCTCTACGCGGGGCCAAGCTCCGGCGTCGGTGCTCCAGCCGCCACGAGGCAGCGAGCCGGTGGGTGCTCTTCCTGTCCTGATAACTGAAGAATCTGTCGGAGAGCGCCAAAGCGACAAGCATTTCATCAGTGCTGTTTCACCTGAAACAGAGGTTGTTCTACATGAGGCACGGTTAAGAAGCAAGTCTTATCATTGCAGTGTATTGCTGGTCAATGCTCATTTTATACGTAGCAAGGATCCCAAACTGGAACCTTGATTTAGAGAAGCGTTCAAATCGCGGGAGGTCCCAGCTCCCATCTTTCTGCCGCCCCTGACTGCCGAGCCGTCTGCACCGGCCCCACCACAACCAGGCGCCTCAACTCATTGGGGATGGTTTGGGACGGTGATTGCAGTGGCTGTCACAGCGACTTGATTTTGCCTTCTTCGCTGCTACCGTTGATGCTTCTACTCGAACCGTTGCTGCTATTTCCTACTGCCGCTACTGCTAGACTACTACGATCATTGCCCTAATCTGCGACAGTCGAGTGTGGGGTGACGAGGGCTTGGTCTGACTTGAGAACCATTCCGTGACAGCAGTCGTGATAAGAGTCGTGCCACAAGAGCAAGAGCAAGACCGGTGGTGATAGGAGCAGCAGCAGCAGCAGCAGCAGCAGCAGGTTTTCAATCTGTGCACCAGCAGCCGTCACTGTTGTCTGAGCTATAGTAGTGGTTTCAGCAGAACCTGGTAGTCCCAGTAGTAAGGGGATTGTGCCCACCTTGAACTGCAGTCTTAGGCCCTGAGAATGTTGCAGGCCTGAACCGAAAACCTTTGCACGGCAACATGGAAAGACCTACTTACAGAAGCCAGAAAGTTGGAACATCATTGCCCTGGTACCTTTACAATAAAATATAAGGGATCCTAGCACCGATCATCCTAAATCCATGTTCCAACTGAGGTTCGCTGTACAGTCTTGCAGGATTCTTCAGAGTTTGCAGTGGCATGGTGCAGGCACGCTCCCCTGTTTTCCTCTTCCGCTGCACCGAGCGGCCCTACCGGGCTCGCGCCGGATGCTGATCCTGGGCTCCGAATGAAGAAGAGCTTGTTTGAAGCAAGTTTGGGTCAGTCTAACAAGTCTAACAAGTTTGGGTCAGTCTAATAAGTCTATAACCATGTCTAACCGAAAGTCTCCTCACAGGAAGGACTAGATTCCGTCCAGGTTGTGGCGGTGTTTGATTGGGGCATTTGGGCCCAAATTGCCGCTACTCGCTTCTCAGACCCACCGCAAGCCTAAGAGCCCGGCAGCCGAGGAATGTTATGGAGCGGCGTGCCTTGACGAATTATAGGGGTCTCTGGCCTGTGGGATGTGGGCTTAAGCAGTTTTTCTGGGGTTTAACGGGGGCAAAGATCAAGTGTAGGCCGTCATGACCATGACTTTGAGGAGCCCGCGAAAAACGCGATGCAGCTTCTCGTGAGCTTAACTTGTAGTACTATGGTATAGGGTGATTGGCATTCCTGTCTCCCATCTCTCTCCAGACCGCTCGACCCGACGGGGCCCAGATCCCCGCAGCTGAAGGCTACACTTCAATGTACGAAGACCTTCTCACCACCGGCCAACGGCGTCTCTTGGCATGCGCCCATCATCAATTCTTCAATTTCCCCCCCCCCCCCCCCGCCCCGGCCCAGTCGCATTTTGGCGGTATTCCACGGGACGCTCATGGTTTAGGGAAGTCTTTAGCTGTGTAGCGCAAGCTCTTCGGGCAGAGGTCTTTATGCTAGCTTCGACCTGCTTCCAGTGGCCGTCGGGCATATCGCAGAACCATCCGAACTCCAAGATGCTCTCTGCGCATCATTTCAGCCTATGAGATGCGTGGAGTGCACGAAACCCGGAGTTTGGATGGGTTGAGGTTTTCTCCGCTTTTGCTGCACAATCTGCTCAGTTTTGATATTTCTGTTGACAGCCTATGCCAAACTTGCCGCACGACAGCAAGCAAAGAGTCAACGCAGATGGTCTCAGACAAGCAACATATGCAACAAAGGCGTGGCTTGTATTGCCTTTGTTAGTTGTTGGCTTTTGTCCAAATGCCTCCGGGCTTCAGAACTGCTCTAGTCTGGTTATCTCGGACGAAGCAGCTTCTCGGCGAGCCATCCCGCCACTACACAGTAGTAGACCGCGCCCTCATGGTTCATTGCAAACTACTCGATGAATCGAAAGCATTTTGCCAGAAAAAATCCTAGAGTTTCGCAAGCCCTAAGAAGTCGAAGTGCAACACTGTGTGACTTCCCGACATTCCGAGCCAAAGCCCCGGAAAGACCATGCCCGAAACCGAGCTCGACGCCGGTGGCGAGCCGTCGTCAGTGCCTGGCGTTGCCGAGTGTGACTGGACGTAAACGTCCGAGGCTTCGTTGTGCCCCGGCTCTTGCAGACCTCGCAAGGACGACAGCTCGCGTGCATGGCCCAAGCCATCGGTGAGATTGTTTTGGCTACTACAGGTTTCATCGCTTGTGGCCGATCGATTATTGTGAGCTGCAGCGGGTTAAGGCGACTTAGGGAAATTGTGCCCTCGGGCTGGTTCTTCAACCCCCCCCCACCTTTCCGGGACGACACGATTCGGCACACTCTTTGCTCAATTGCCGACAAAGACGATCTATTTTACAATCGTTACACGGCTTTAGCAACTTGTACTCTCTCTCAGCAGTCACCAGAACACAGGCAACTGCCGAAGCTAGCTGAGACGTCGCTGTTCAGTGTCATCCCTCCGGCACGTCGCTGCTGCAAAAGCACGCAGCGGGGGTGCCTCTGCAGGAGCTTGTCTGGCAGAAGCCGCCGTGGTCTTCGTGATCACGGACCCGTGGTTGCAGAGTGGTGACTATATATATATATATATAATATACTTGATACACGCGTGGAACGCGCTCTCGTTTAAAATCCAGTCGGTGCACAAGCAAGACTGTTTGCGTGGGAGTACACTCTCGGGGCCATCCTGCTAGCCTAGACCCATTGCCCAAGTTTAGCAGAGTTCGATTTGTTGATCTCCTGGTGTCCTTCGTGGGTGATCTGCGACGAGAAATATCGAACATGTCAAGCAGTATCGAGGCCCGGGCAAAAGACACAGTACAGAACGCCAAAATCACTCAGGCTATCTAATGCGGCTTGTTGTGCTAGCCATGCTACCTGTCTGTCAATACTTCCCATGTTCTTTGAAAGTCTCAATCGCAAATTGCAAAACTTGACCGACTTCGACTATGCACTTTGAGAGCCCGTGCAGGACCTATTGGAGGCTCCAAGCAATTCCCGATTCCGCTACACCGTGCAGCACGCTGCCGCTGGGCGACACTGGCAGACTCGTTGTCATTGTTCGTGAAGGGGAGGCTTTGGCTTCAACTTCAGAAGGCACCCTGTACTCCCTAAGCAACCTTAGTCACGGACGGATAAGAGGTACTATCACTTGCAGACTCTGAGCCTTCGTCCGGAAGTAGGAGCCAACTGAAAACTCACTCTCCAAACCATCGGAGTAAGGCAGACGCTGTGACGAAATCAACACCAAGCAAAACAGTACCGGAAGGCCAGGCCAGGACAGGCCCGCAACAGCAACACCATTAGCTTTGCCCCAGACCCTCTTCCAAACAAATCTCGTTAAGGTAGAAGCTTCAAACAAACACGTAAAGTTCTATTCCGGTTAGGGTTCCTTTTACTTATGCAGTATCATCGAGCCGAAAGTCTTATTCTTATTCCAATCATTAAGGCCCCTAACCCTAAACCCTAAACCCTTAAGGTCCCTATATCAAATTCCTTCCACACTCCGTCGCCCAGAGGTCCAGAAGCCGGTACGAATCACAAGGGCGCCAGGGCTGCAAGTAATATCGGGGCCTCAATTTAGGGTTTAGGGCTTTAGGGCTGTAGGGTTTAGGATTTAGGGTTCAGCAATTCTGACTTTGATTTTTCTAGTCAAGCAACTTTCAGAAATCAACCCACCCGCCCATAGAATCCCACAGCATTCGAACATAATATTAGTGTTTCTATTTTCCATTAGTTAAGAAAAATAACTTTTCACTTTGTCGTGAATGTTATTATATATCATAGAGCGTCATTTATGCGGTTTGCAGCTTTAAACTTTTCATTACTTTGGACACGGCAGCCCTAGTTCGATTCTTATTTCTATTCATATCGTGGACTCACGCATGACGTGGCGGGGGGTGGTGGGGGCCGGGGGGCGGCGGGAGCGGTGTGGCGGGGCGGGAGGCTTTTTTAGGACTTTCGGCCCGAAGCCCTAAACGGCCAGGATTTAGAGGCCTAAATCCTGGCTTTATACGGTTTAAGGCCGACCTTGACCACCTTTTTTTAGGACTTTCGGCCTTAAACCCTATACAGCCAGGATTCAGAGGCTTAAATCCTGGCTTCACGGTTTAGGGCCGACCTTGCCCGCTTTTTTAGGACCTTGACCGCTTATTGAGGACTTTTATGACCTTGACCGCTTTTTTAAGGACTTTACAAACTCCTAAAAAAAGCGGTCGAGGTCATAAAAAAGCGGTCAAGGTCGGCCCTAAACCCCAAACAGCAAGGTTTTTGAGGCCATCCTGGCTTTATACGGCTTAGACCTTGACCGCTTTTTGTTTATGACCTTGACAGTTTTTTAATGACCTTGACCGCTCTGCTTTATGACCTGGACCACTTTTTTATGACCTTGACCGCTTTTTATGACCTTGACCGCTTTCTAATTAACATTTATATTATATATAAAGGAGAGGTTTAGGGTTTAGGGGCCTCAATAACTACCAATACTAT